GAAAACCTGAATAAACATCATAGAATTAAAAGCTTACAGAATGCAAAACATCTTTAGATAATTTTGCTTTGAATTTACCGACATTAATCTTACAAGTCCGGTGATCAACGCGATCGCTCAACTATACAGTTTCTAGACATTATATTACTTTGACACTCTAGTATATTGGTATTAAGTGTGATGAACGATTGTTAGAAAACTTGTATTTGTTTGATAAAAGAATTCAGTCCCTTCACACTAGCAGTGAGTCCACTTTAAACAACCCACGAAGCAGATATTCAAAAGTACAATAAAACATTATTTGCATGCCTTACCTTTCAAAAGAAAGTTTGATTTCTTGATCTAAAGCTAAAGTATTATTTAGGTGTGTTTCTTCTTCTCTGTTCTTCTGTTTGACTGACTTCAGTATGGGTTTGACGTGGTATAGATGCTGCGACAGACACTCCTACAAACCAAACCCACCAATAGAAACAGCTATTAGTTTGTCGCTAGGTTGTCACAGAAATAGAAACTTTAACCTTCACTGACTTCGATGTTCAATAACATCGCAAAACCAAACCAAATTTGGAGTTGTTTGTGCACAGCGTAATGGACCATAACATTCTACGAATTACTGTTTTGAATGTTCAAAGAACTACCTCAAAAGAAAAGAAACACTTTTTTCGCTAACATTCAAAGTCATTTTTGCAATTTTCTTGTGATATTCAGAAGAATCTGAGATTGTTTGCAGTCGTTCTGATGCATATCCAATAATATGCACCAGTGACTGCACAGCTGGCCATTAGATCACAAGCGAATGTTCATCTTTTTTTGTTCAAATAATATCGAATTCATGGTATTTAGTTGTGCTGGCATATTAACCTATTACAACATCTATAATATCAAAAAAAAAATTCTTAACGTAGAAAATGTTTAGCATGTGTTCAGCGCGATGATGTCGGTATTCCAAAGGAATGGCGGWCACTACGAATGGTAGACAATAGATTCACAGGGCGTGACGCTATAGAAAATGCAAGAAAACTACAGAATGATTTCCTTTATAGGTTCATTCGTCTATATTCACTGCAATGTGATTGTATTTTGTACTTTGTAATGTGTAATATCATTTCAGAGAGAAATGGCTGAATCTCTAAATACCGATATAACTGAATCAGATTGAAAAGAATTCTAAGAATTCCGAACTTTCTGAAGAATCGATGACATTAT